AAGATGGTTCCTTTTTTATTTTTTTGTCATTTTGATGCTTTAAAAAGCTGACTTCCAAGGGTAACAGTAGGAGTACCTTCACCCATTACTGTTGTTAAGCTCACTTCCTTGTCCAATATTCGCTCAAGCTCTGTCACAACATAACTCATTGTTGGTCTCTTCTCACTTGATACATCAACACATTTAAGTGTCAGTGTAATAAGTTCCTCTACTCCTTCTGCTGTGTATGTACCTCCTAGTCTCTCATCGATCATCGTTGGTAAATCCGTGTAATCCGTTATGTTTTGCATCTGCAGAACCATATAAGATCAATCCAGTGCATTACAAGTGAGATTTCATCGGCGAAAAATCCGTTTTGAGTAAGATTAGATACCCATTCGACTAGAGTTTGTGTTGAGCTTGAAGGGGATGGTTCTGATGCTTCTCTTCCCCTTACTAATTCCAAGAGGAATACACCAAAAGCATATACATCACTTTTCTCTGAAAATCTTCTAAATTCTTGAACCCTGCAAAAGCGGGGAAAATCTTAGAAACTTGGATACACAAAATGTAAGACTCAGAAGGTTAAAAGTTAAATTACTCCGGGGATAGGAAAATCTGATCTGCAACAATGTGAGACGATGTGCCAACATCCTCTCTCCCTAAGAAATTACGAACTCCTGCATCCGCAACTTTAGCAATGAAATTTTCATCCACAAGAACATTAGCAGTTTTGAAGTCCTTATGTATCAATCGAGGACTCAGCGAGTGAAGATGTGCCAAGCCTAGAGATTAAAACACACAAGATTTCTTAGAGCTGCCTCAATGAGCTTAATTGGCATGGCTTTTGCAGAGCATTTTTTACCTTTAGCAGCTCCTATAGATATGGCAAGCCTATTTCTGAATTCTAGCCTATTTCCAGGTACATTACCACCAGCACCTAAACGAATAAAAGACTCAAAATGATGCTTACATTGTCTAAACACACCTCCAAACTGATTATTACCAAAATGAGAATAGCATTTAATCTCTATTCAAGGACAGAGAGTTACCGTACAGGTGACTGGAAACACTTCCATTAGGAACATACTCGTAGACAAGAAACTGTGTGTTGCTTTCTTGGCAATAACCCAAAAGAGTAACAAGATTACGATGATGTATAGACGATAGATAACGAACCTGAAAAAAAAAAAAAAACATTTTAACAAGACCTTGTAAGCCTCTCAAAACAGATCATTACAAGTAAGCATTGAGCAAAAGATTATCATAAAAAACCTCGTTAACGAATTCTTGCGTAGGCAAGCCGGGCCTTTTCTTGATTGCCACAAGAACACCATCTTGAAGCAAACCTTTGTAAACCTCGCCGAATTTGCCAATACCTATAAGGCTTTTATTGGTAAAACTCTTTGTTGCTTGAGCAAGTTCCTCCATTTCAAACCTTCTAGCTTCCCTCATTGACAACTCAATTGCAACATTTCTTCCTTCTAAAAAGCACAAAAGTCTACATCAAATTTGGTATCATCCAAGAAAAGTCAAGAGAGAGAGAGCGATTGAGTTATATAACCTTGAGTAGATGGATCAGAAGAGCCAGTCTCAGAAGTTCTTGACACATTCTTACGACGAAAGATACAAAACCAAATGAAAAAAACCAACAAAGCAATCAATGCAAGAGCTCCTACAGCACCTCCAATGGCTGCTGCAAGAATTGCTGACATTTGGAAACAAAACAGC